GGGTTATTTGGGATACCATTTGTATTTTGTTTTTGCAAAATAGTCAGGCTTAATCCCAGTTTGTTGATTTTATAAAAAAACCAACTATTTATTAGTGGGGAATGTATGGCATTGTCCGCCGAGGGGTAAGGCAGGGAAGACTATAGTTTAGACGAGGCACGGTCATACTGTTTGGTTTATTGCTTTAACTAGCAATACCAATAACAACGTTATGTGCATTCGTCACAAAGTGACGACACATAGCAGTGGGAAATGTATTGTAGTTGTCTGTAAATGCCTTGTTGACCACGAAGTCAGGCGCAAACGAAACGAACTTTTCATTAGGGTCGTATCGCTGGTAACGTAAGAACTTCGAATTGTCACAAGAGACATTTGGGTTTGAAAGGTTTTTTGTAAAGAAGCTATTAATAGCTTCTGGTTAGAATATCCCAAGGGAACTGATGAGGATCAGTGGCGAGATCCGAAACTATAGTCTTCCCTGCCTTACCCCTAGGCAGACAATGCCATACATTCCCCACTAATAAATAGTTGGTTTTTTTTATAAAATCAACAAACTGGGGTTAAGCCTGACTATTTTGCAAAAACAAAAAGTGATTCTCAAACTCTAAACGTATTTTTCTCGAAACAGTGTTTTACGAATGGCGGGCACGATAACTCAAAACCTAATAATACAATCAGTTCCAAATTTTGACACGTTTCTCTGAGTGTATAGCTATCGTATGAACTAGGATAAAGCCAATCGATGAAGAATTTCCTTTTTTTAACATAGTTTGTGATCAAACTATGAAAATGAAAATCTTGAAAATGTAAACTCGAAAATGGGGTGGAATTATTTTTACTATTTTTAAAAAATAAAGACCTTTCCAATGTGGCCTTGAAATCATTACACTAATCATCGAATTGTCGCTGTTAATATATTCCGCAAACTCAACATTTTAACGAGGTGCACGAACTAGGAACGTCCGCGGTCTCGGTGCTAACTTTAATCGTAATTCTCGCCCCAGTAGACAGCAAAGTCTATACTATGATACCCTTCACCACTTTGAGTATATACAACAGATGCATTCCAAAAGACATCGCATTTTTTAACTAAAATATGTGATTTTTATCCAAATGTGAACCGACTTAGAACAATCGAAAACATGTCATTCTGCAACCTATACTAAATTTCATTTGGTCAGATATAGAGTCGTTTGCTTACAATGCGGCAAAATTGTGTAAATAGATTTAAAGCAAATCTCAATCGAACATCCATTGATCATTTGGAGCTCAATTAACATGAAGTCGATTGTATATATATATATATATATATATCGACGTCTCCGAACCATAGTATGCTAAGTCGGCTTAACATGATTTAAAGTTCTTTACGTTTTTAGATACTACGGTCCTTAATTTAAATTCTCTGAAATTTTGGTAATCATCGGCCAATCCAAACCAAAGTTATAAGTTATGGAAAAAATAGTCGACTTATAAAGAACGAAAATTTTTACATTTTTACAAATGATATGAGTTCGATTGCGCGAAAAAAGCTGATATTGGCACAAAATATGTCAAAAGGTAATAGTTATTTATATTTAGTTTTATATTATGTTATTAATCTGTTTCGCTTCTAAAAAGGAGCAATAATAACTACAGAGACCATGCTAAGTAACAAAGAAGAAAATAAAGGTCAGCAATTTAAGATGAAATTAGTTCTCGCCTTTGTAAAATATTATATCTTTGTGTATATGTTTGTAACAGGCAAAAGGAAACGAGATAGACACATTACTCATTTTGAGAATATGCATTAAATCACTTTCTGAGTCGATTTATACATGTCCGTCCGTCCATCAAAACGAAATTTCGGTGCCGGTTCCTTAATGGTCTTGGGAGAATTTTATAGCGACGGAATGCTTGATTTGGCATTTCCTAGTTAATTCAATGGAGTACGTTCAAGTCTTTGAAGACAAATTATTGCCATTTTGGGAAAGCAGCTACGATGAAGGACTCGTTTTTCAGCAGGACAACGCGCCATTTCATAAAAGTTGCCATACTTTAGAATGGTTAAAAATATTTAAAAAAAATATTTAAAGTATGAACTGGTCCGCATGTTCTTTCGACCAGAATGTGATCGAGAACATAGGGGGAATCTTAACTCGTCGTATCTATGCGGTAAACCGCCAATACCAGACCGCTTTTAACCTCAAAGAAGTAATAATCAATAAATGGCGATCAATCGACAATGATTTGCAAAAAAATTGATAGAGAGAATGATGAATAGAATTTTTGATCTTATTCAAAATAAGGGAGGCCCTACCCATTATTGATTAATGTTATGCTATTTTATTTAAGGTTTTAAAAATAATTATATCTAATTTTGTAAAAGTTGTGCAACATCAATAAATTTAAGATTGCAGAATTAGGCGAAACCATAAAGAATAAATCAATTATTTTTTGTTGAATAATATGTGTTTTTGGTCATTTTGCTGTGTACAATAACTTGTTTAATAAGTTTGTTCCAATCCAAAACATGCTATGTATACTTAGACGACTAATCAGAGTAGAAAGGTCCGTAACAAAATATGCTAAGTCGACTTAGCCGACTTATTATGAAATGTTTGTCCATGCTAAAGTATTCTAAATCGTTTTTAGCTATAATCTGCTAGAAAAATGTTAAATTTAGACGTGCTACCAAAATTATATTTCAATTTCGTTAAAATCCGTAAAACACTTAATGTTCTACCTCACACCGCTCCCGAGATAACGCCCGTAAACTTTGAGAGCTTCTCCTGAAAAACTCACTTTTCAGACTTAGCATACTATTCTTCGGAGGCGTCGATATATCGTTAGCTAAAATGCAAAAAGGCGTAACTAACAAAAGCATAATTGTGTAGGAGAAGCAAAAAACTGTTTTGAATGAAAACAATAAACATGTCAAATGACGATTTTTCTAAGTTCACTTTTAATACACTGACAGATGTATACCTAAATAAAACAAAATTGTTTTTCAATTATTATATTATTATTATTATAAACCCACTTGTAGTTACGTATTTTTGTTTTTTGTTAATAGAAGCTCCTTTTTTGACCGCAGACGTGTAAAACTTTGTCAACACATGTAGTTTATTGACATTCACAATATTCATTCAAAAAGTCAATTTTAAATTTTTTATTAGTTACGCCTTTTTGCATTTTAGCTAACGATATATATATTAGGTTCTGGTAACTTTAGTACGTTGTGCAAATTTTTGCGGCAATCGGGTCTTTGGTGCACCATTTACATAAAATCGGACGAATCTATATATGGGAGCTATATTTAAATCTGAACCGATTTTTCCCAATTTCAATAGGGTTTGTCCTAAGGCCACATAAATGAGATGTGAAAAATTTCATTTTAACAAGGACAGGCAGACTGACTTACGGGCATGCAGAAATCGACTCAGAAAGTATCCTCAAAAGGAACAATTTGCCTATATCTTTCCCTTTTGCTTGTTACAAACATATGCACAAAGACATAATACCCTGTAGAAAAGTCTGGTAGGGGTATAACAACAACTAAAAAACGACATTTTCCCTACTATCAGGAGCACATACACAAAAAATTTCGGATATTTGATTTTTTTTTGGAAAATCGCCAATTTTTGGCCACAAACGAAGATAAAAAACCAGTAAGGAAAGTAGTAAAGTCGGACGGGGCCGACTATATGATACCCTTCACCACTATGAGTATATATGAAATTGGATAAAATAAAATATGTGATATTTATCTAAATGTGAATCTACTTAGATCTATCCATATACATGTCATTCGATTGTTACAATGGGACAAAAGTATGTAAATCGACTTCAAAGAAATATCAATAGGTCATCAATATGTCTGTACTTCTAGAAAACGCAACTAAGTAAATCTATGCTCAATTTTGTACGTTGTGCAAAATTTGATGTCAATCTGACTAACATGAGGAGTCTGATGTCCAATTTACCTAAAATCGGGCGAAAATATATATGGAAGTTATATCGTCATATGAACCGATTTAAACGAAACTTGTCACAGGTTAGGTAATACTAATTTCAGTACGTTTTGTTCATATCAGCCATATATTGGATCCTTGGTGCGTCAATTACTTAAAATCAATTTTTAATATAACGGAGCTATATCTAAATCTCAACCGATTTTCACGAAACATGGCACACATCAGTCTGGACTAAATTCAGTGCGCTATGCCAAATTTCGTGCAAATCGAAGGCTATTTAGGGACTTTGGTGCACCATTTACCTTAAATCGGACGAAACTATATATGGGAGCTATATCTAAATCTGGACCGATTTTTCCCAATTTCAATAGGGTTCGTCCTTGAGCCAAATGAATCAGCTGTGCCAAATTTCATCCAATTCGAATAATAAATGCGGCCTGTACATTGTTTACAATTTAACATGGACAGACGGACGGACGGACGGACAGACGGACATGTGTAAATCGACTTAGAAAGTATTGGATTTATCCTTGTTCATACGATACCTATATATGTACAGAACAACGTGTTAAAATTTGGAACCGGTTGGATTATAGATTTTGAGTTATCGTGCCCGCCATTCGTAAAAACACAGTTTGGAGAAAAACGCGTTTGAAGATTGAGAATTACTCTAGCCCTCATTTGATGCTAACACAATAAATCGGCTATAACTTCAAGAATTGTAGAGATTTTCACATGGAAACTCATAGGGACTTTCTGGAATTAGTGTTGTTTAGAATTAAATAAAAAAAAAGATTTGGGGGTCCCATTAAATCAAAAACAGTACAAAAAACATAATTCCTAGAAAAAACACAAAAATACTATAGAAAATAAGAAAAATCTTACTGGTTTAAATTTAATGCACTATAATAGCAATTCTGGAACAAAATCCGATAATTATCTAATGTTTTTATTGGCTCTATTGCAGATTTTTCTAAATAATGTTGCAGAATTACAACGTTTAATTTTTGTAGAGTATTGAAAATTGAATATGAAAATATCGATATGACTAAGAAATTTCATTCGAGAAGACGTTGGAAACCACCGTTCCCAACATGGCAGCTTTCCATCATCATCATTTTGTCTAGCTTAGTATTATATATCTCAGCTGAAGGAAGTGGTGAAGATGTTTCAGGTATGATAAACCTGATTTGAAATAATCCAACTTGTGTTTCACTGTTTTTGTTTACAGATAAAATAAAGATAAATGTGGAAAAGACTCCATTTAGTCTAAAATTTTCTATTGTCGATATGGAAAATTATGAGCTGCAAAATGTCACATGTAAAAATAATAAAAACAATGTTGAAATTGTTGCAAATGAGGAATTTGTTTGGTAAATAATGCAATTTTAAGCATCTGATTTTTTATTCAAATATTATTTGTTTAATGCAGTGAAAACTTGGACCCTTGTTCATCATATTTTGCCGTACTTACCGTAAAGCAGCTGAACGAGGAGGCGCAAACATTGGTAGAAATAACCAAAGAGGAAAGTACGGAATACACAGGTAATAATAATAATAGAAATACAAAGGAAATAGAAATACAAATGAGTCGTTTATTTTGAAAGTGATTTAAGTCCATTTTAGGTTCTGATACAAACCTAGAAAAACATTTACAAAACATAATACGTTATATCAACTATCATGTTTACGGGCACATTAATTTGTCAATAAAATGAAAAATGGACTTCAACCACTTTCAAAATAAAGGACTCAAATATAGTTAAGAAAAAATCAAAGGAGTAGTTTTTTATCAATTATCTCTTATAACAACTATTGTACAAATTACGACCAACTAATAATCTTTTTTTTTCTCCTTTCAGAGCCATCTACAAAAATTGAAAACATAGATCCCTCACCGGATTCAATAAATATGACCTGGCATTCGGAACATCGAACGTGTATTTTAAATTTCCTGATCGAAGCCAAATCGCTTGACAATTCGTTAATTTTTAAGTGGACAGTCACGAATGATATTGCCTTCCTAAAAATGGAGGGTTTAAATCCCTGTCAGGACTATGTCATTCAATTGAAGACCTTCGACATCAGTAATAATTTAATTGATACCAGTCCAGCTAATGCCCGTACTGAATATATGGGTTAGTTATAAAAATTTGATTCTATTTTCCCAACTATTAATAAGTATGTATGTGTTTCATCACCTAGAACCGGGCAATGTGTCGTTGTTAATCACCAATAACACCAACGCCGAGACGAAGGTAACATGGGAACTGGAATCTCCAACTACATGCGTAAATTTTTACTACCTCAAATGGACACTGTTGGACTGTGTTCCTGGTGAAGCGGACAACTTGGTTGAAGTTACAACGGTAATTCCAGAAGCTGGTAGTAAGTATGATGAGGAAAAATAAAGTTATTTTAAAATTTATAGAACGTAAATGAATGAAACATTGGGAGATTTTAAAAATGCAAAAAACCATTATGATGATATTGAATAATTTGAACTTGATTCAAATTTCTTTTCGAAAAATGGACGGTACTGCAAAGTAGTTTTTTTTTTGCAAATTACAGACACCCATGTTGAAAATGCGTTTAAATCTTTTAAAATACCGCAAATGTGTTCGGTTATATGGAATACATCTAGGACCATAAAAATAACTAAATACGGAGCTAACTTAATGTGGACATTAGGGCGAGCCAATTTATATAGTGCCGAAAAACGTGATTAAATCCAGCCCCTAGGATGATTCTATGAACAATTCTCAGCAACTTTGTTGAAGGATCCATAGGCTTATCGCGATTTTCGGATATCTCACTTTTCATAAAATGACTTTTTTCCTATAACATAATTTTGATTCAAAATTCAATTTTTTATCAATTTTACCGAAAAACTGTATTTTTTCTCAGAAAAGAGACGAAAAATAGTTAAAATGTGTATGATCAGAGATGAATTTCTCGACCATAATATAACGATGAATAAAGAAATTGAATTTTGAATTAAAATTATGTTATAGGGAAAAATTAATTTTTTGAAAAGTGGGAGACTCGAAAATCGAGATAGACCTATGGTTCCTTCACCAAAGTTGCTTAGAAGTGTCCATAGAATCATCCTAGGGGCTGAATTTAATCGACAAACAAATTGGCCCGCCCTAATAGACATATATGTATAATTTTCTGAAAATATATTTTTGATCCTCCAGCAACTCGAAATACCAAACCCGAAAAATCACTATTGTTTAAAGAGTTAATATAAGAAACCAGTAAGGAATGTAGTAAAGTCGGACTGGGCCGACTATATGATACCCTTCACCCCTTTGGGTATATTCTAAATAGTCTCCTAACAGACGTCGCATTTTTTCAGGAAACTTGGCAGACATCACTCTAGGCTCAATTCAGCACGTTATGCCGAATTCCGTGCAAATCGAAAGATATTTAGGGACTTTGGCGCACCACTTACCTTAAATCGGACGAAAATATATATTGGAGCTATAGCTAAATCTGAAGCAATTTTCACGAAACTTAGCGCAGATCATTATAGACTCAACTCAGTAAGCTATGCCAAATTTCGTGAATATCGAAATGTATTTAAGGTCTTTGGCGCACCATTTACCTTAAATCGGACGAAAATATATATGGGAGCTATATCTAAATCTGAACCAATTTTCGCGAAACTTGACACACACCCTTATAGACTTAATTCAATATACTGTGCCAAATTTCGTGCAAATCGAAAGATATATAGGGACTTTGGTGCACCATTTATCTTAAATCGGACGAAATTATATATGGGAGCTATATCTAAATCTGAACCGATTTTCACGAAACTTAGCACACATCACTCTAGACTTTATTTAGTACGATATGCCAAATTTCGTGCAAATCGAAAGTTAAATAGGTACTTTGGTGCACCATTTACCTTAAATCGGACGAAAATAAATATGGGAGCTATACCTAAATCTGATGCGATTTTCCCAATTTCAATATGGTTCGTCCTTGGGCCAAATAAGTGACTTGTGCCAAGTTTCATCGAAATCGGATCATAAATGCGACATGTACTTTGTTTACAATTTAACATCTACAGACGCACGGACGGATATGCATAAATCGACTCAGAAAGTGATTCAATGCATATTCTCAAAAGGAACCATGTGACTATCTAGTTTCCTTTTGCCTGTTACAAACATATGCACAAAGACATAATAGCCTGTACCACAGTCTGGTGAAGGGTATAAAAAGTTCTGGGAAAATTGATATGTTTTGAATTTTACGTTCTAATATATACTGATTTCTCTTGTTCATTGACATATACTAAAATTTGATGGAGACTACCTTTGTCCTTTATATAATCCTTCTAAAACGACATCTAGTGGGCAAAATTGGTAAAACTCTGATTAAGATCGGGTTTAACACTAAAATGAGTTTTCATATTTTTAAGATTTTTGACGTTTAGGCTTATTTTTGAGTCTATTCTGAGACTCATAGTAAAACTTTATAACGAATATTATAGAATATTCTGGCCTGATATAAACCCGTTTTAAATGGGGGTTCAATCATTTCTGGAAAAGGGGATCGAAAAGACCTCTTTAGAGAGTCGACTGATCTATCTATCATAATTTGTTTGGAATTTCCCGATAATTTTGTTTTTGCAAAATAGTCAGGCTGAATCCCAGTTTGTTGTTTTTATAAAAAACAACTATTTATTAGTGGGGAATGTATGGCATTGTTTGCCGAGGGGTAAGGCAGGGAATCCTCATCAGTTCCCTTAGTTTTTTGTTGGGATATTCTCCCCAGAAGCTATTGCTTCTATACAAAAAACCTTTCATACCCAAATGTCTCTTGTCGCCAACACTACTGAAGTTGTAGACGCAGGCACGGTTAAACTGTTTGGTTTGTTGCTGTACACTAGCAACACCAACAAAGTCGTTGTGTGCATTTGTCGCGATGTGACAACACACAACAGTGGGAAAGGTGTGGTAGTGTTTGTAAATGCCTTGTTAACCTCGAAGTGAGGCTCCAGCGAAATTCTCATGCAGTTTATGTCGTTGGTCAGCTAAGTACTTCGCTTTGTTACAAGAGACATTTGGGTATGAAAGGTTTTTTGTATAGAAGCAATAGCTTCTGGGGAGAATATCCCAACAAAAAACTAAGGGTCAGTGGCGTGATCCGAAACTATAGTCTTCCCTGCCTTACCCCTCGGCAAACAATGCCATACATTCCCCACTAATAAATAGTTGTTTTTTATAAAAACAACAAACTGGGACTCAGCCTGACTATTTTGCAAAAACAAAATACAAATGGTATCCCAAATAAACCGCCAACACTACTGAATTTCCCGATAATTACTTTTTTTGCTTTCCACAGTATTATAAATCCACTAATCGTTTTTAGTTGTGACCACGAACTTTATAAAAATTCCCTAGCGTTTGCAATATGATTAGTTAATTTCAATTCTTTTTTATTTTAATAATCTTCAATTCCAAATAATTACATTACATTTTTGTTTAAAGTTAACAAGTGTGAAGCTGATCAAAATATTACTGATCCAACGGCCAAAGAATTCACAATTACTGGACTTCAGGGTTGCGAACTTTACGATGTTGAGTTTTTCATAAACAATGTGGACACGCCAAAAACTCAAATGCAATTCATGTCATCGGAAAAGGGTATGTAACAAATAACATGCATAAGCATTTTTAATTTCATATTTTATTTTATAATTTTCTTAAGTCCCTGTCCACGCTATCGTAATTTTATGACTTCCTCAGTGAACTCATAATTTCATGTAATTTGTTTCATTAAATTTCTATAGTGTGGACTAAGACTAAGTAAATTTCGAAATATGTACTGATATTTCATCGTTCATCATTGCGTATACGTGACAACAACAATAATACGCATCGATGTTTCATATTATTTTGCAAAAATGTTAAGTATTCGTATTTCATTTTAGTTCCCGGTGCCGTTACAATTAGTTCAACAGATACTGGAAGTACCACTGCCAATCTCTATTGGAATCCTCCGGTACAAAATCCCAAATGTGTAGACTATTATATTGTAGAGTTTATTGGACCAATTGTTCGACCCATATCATATGGACCATTTTATGTTGCCGACACAGTGGCCAATTTTGATGGCCTGGAACCATGTGGAGAATATAATTATACCATTGTGCCCAAGTCTTTAAATGGTTCGCATGGTGAAGAGTTTAGTAAAAACTTTAATACCTTGGAAGGAAGTATGTATGCAATAAATATATTTTATTTAAAAATACCAATTGACTCCCTCTAAATCTGCACGTGCATTCCAGGACCAACTGTTGTACGTAAAAAAGATGTTGTCGCCCATCCATTCTCCTTGGATATCTCCTGGGATCCACCGGAATTTGCCGATTTATGCGTAACTGGCTATCGTTTGTCCGGTTGGGACGATGAGGATAATGAAGTTTCTGCTTTTGATAAGAAAACGACAAATACCAGCATAACCATTGAGGGTTTAAAGGCCTGCGTTACATATACTATTCAGATTATACCCACCACCAAGTCCATGAATGATGGTGAATTATTGCACATTGAATCGGAAACTAAATCGAAGGCAGCCGATGCACCGGAAGTCGATGTATTGGCCGTATATCCTGATCGTTTTGCCATTAGTGCCCGTGAATCGGATAAGAATAATAAATGTGAGACAATTTTTGCACGAATTGTTTGTGAAGCACGTAGTGATGCTCCGATAAAGGTAAGTATTGGCAAATTGTGGAAGTTTTTTATGTCAACGTGGACCTAATTTTATTCTGATCAAGAAATTATAGTGGAATATATAAAAAAGTTGTAACACCGACAATATATAGCTCAGGGTGGCGTATGAAAATAAAACATACGCCACCTTAAACGTAGAATAAACTACACTGAAATGTATTTGAATTATATTATTTTTTATGTTAAAATATACCTATGTACATATATACATTTTAGAAAGCCGAAAAATATGTCAAAGGCCAACTGGTAATACTATTCAATACGGATATCGGTCCACTGTCACCCTACACCGATTATTATTGCAATGCTGCACTTTACAACATTGGTGGTTGGTCGGCAAATAAGACATTTGTCAAGAAAACTGAGGCCTATTGTAAGTATAAATTATTTTCTGTCCTGCTAAGCACGAATCACATTTGAATACCCCCACATTTCAGTTCCTGATAAACCGGAAAATGTAACGGTAACAACCCAAACCAATAGTACATTGAAATTTACATGGAATGCTCCCAGATATCCGAATGGCAACATCAACATGTACATCACCTATTTCAAACGTGTCGAAGCCTCCTACTTCATACCCAAGGATTGTGGCACGACCAGCTCAGATATGGTACCGCGTGAAACATCCCGGCTGGAACTGGCATTCGACGACCTGCAACCGTATACAAGATACAGCATTCAAGTGGCAGCTAAAAATGAGTTCGGCATCAGTGAAACTACCGCGCCCACCATGATTTCCACCATGCCATGGAGTATGTTTGTGACACACACACTATTTAATGCAGGCAATTTTTTCATGTTATTTCATTTCGTCCTCTCCTAGTTTCGGAACGTATTCAAAGGGTAACTGCCACGGCGGAGGGTCCTTTGGAAACCGATTTGGAGTATAAGGCAAAAGCAATGATCTCTTGGAGTTCGCCATGTAAATCGAATGGCGATATTGAATATTTCCTACTGGACTTCACCGGAAAACGTGAGGGTTACGAGAACCAGCATATTGTGCGTGAAATAAAACCGGACTATTCCAATGACGGCCTTATTACTTACAACGAAACTGAGCTAAAGCCCGAATATCGTTATACCGTGAGTGCATCGGTGAAGACATTTGGTGTGGAATATTTAAGTGAAAATGCCTATGCAACATTTGATGCTCCCGCTGGAAGTGAGTTTCATTAGAAATCCACTGGATGGATGTGAATTTTGAATTGAATTGTGTTGATTTTTTAGTTCCTCAACGATTGGATACTGAGGCCATGAGAAAAGCTCGTGTTGAGGCTTATGAAAGCAGTAACCCCTCAAAAATCGCCGTTGTACGTTTTCCAGCTGATATTTTACAATCGGAATATGGAACCATATTATATGTGGCATTACTGCTATCCGAGAAAGTGGGTATTAATTGAATTTTAACCAGGGACCTTGGAAATATATTGGTTCATATCTTTGCAATGCAAAATGATTACAAATTTATTATATCGTTTAATTTCAGGACTGTGATCGTGACTCAATGCAATTAAGATACGGTGCCATGGATACGAGTGTTAACTGGCCTACGGTAAAGACCTGGAGTGAAGTATATGGTGATAAAAATGTCGAATGTATTGCTCAGTATCAAACGACACCGATACGTTGGAAGCCTCCGGATCCCCGAGGACAATCATCAAGTGAAATTGAGTATGTGATTGGGACAGAAGATTGTGTCAGTGAGACGAACCGCTACTGTAATGGACCCCTTAAACCTGGTAGGGAAAATAATTAACGATAGCATTACAAAAATAACTTAGATTTTTGTAAACCTTTTTTCAGATACTGAATACAATTTGATAATACGACTTTTTACCAAATCGGGTTATAACGATGCCGCCCTGCTGGAGTTTAGAACAGAGGCTCTAATTGAACTAACCATAATTTTGGCTGGTGTCTCCAGTTGTTTGCTTTTGGCCTTTATAGCCGGTTTCGTTTATCTTTGGATCACGAAACGTATAAAGTGGTAGGCATTTCATTTGTGGGTAATTCATGAGCTAATTATACAAAACAACAACATTGTTCGGTTACAGGCAACGTGAATCGTGTCATGGCATAGAGGATTCGTTTGGTGATATTGCCTCGAAGAAATTTGCTATGTATTATCGTGAATTATCGAAACCGGATAAAATCGCACGTGAATTTAAAGAATTGACAGCAGTGGCGCTGGATTTAAGTTATTCAGCATCGGAAATGGGTTATAATAAAAATCGATATGCCGACATTTTTCCATGTAAGTATTTTGGAATAACATAAAAAATGAGGTCATGAGTGAAAACAATGTCGAACAATTCTTTGTCAACAACTCATCTTAACGCCCACCACGAACATCGCCTCTACCTAAATAAGCCCTAAGGGCTTGAGAAATCCAATATTTATTCTTCAAAAACCTACCAATTCTCAACGTGTTTAGTTGGTTTGGTTTATAGTCCGTCGGGATCATTGGACCTCAATTTTTCGAAAATGAGATTGGACTATGAAATAATCCGAGAGGCTATCGAATATATAATTCTGGATGTATTGAATAATTTACATTTTTCTTCTTGAATCTTGCGTTTTTATCAAATATGGACCATACGAAATAAGTCCCCAAACAGAACATTAAATATGTTCCCAAATTTGGGACTCTATTTCATTATGTAATAAATTCCCATAAAGTAATATGAAATAACTCCCCCCTCCAAAAAAAAAGAAAATAAGTCACTAAAAGTGGAAAAGTCGGAAAATTAAATAAATCCCCAAATAAATTGTTTTATAGCATATAGTTTTTATTTTATTTTTAAGAAAGAAGTGTCCGTTTTTTATACCCTTCACTTATTTGGCCCAAGGACGAACCATAATGAAATTGGGAAAAATCGGTTCAGATTTAGATATAGCTCCCATATATAGTTTCGGCCGATTTTATGTAAATGGTGCACCAAAGTCCCTATAGATCTTTTAATTTGCACGAAATTTGGCCCATGTCTAAAAAGATGTGTGTTAATTTTCGTGAAAATCGGTTCAGATTTAGATATAGCTCCATTATATATTGTTTCGTCCGATTTTATGTAAATTGTGCAATAAAGTCTCTATATATCCTTGAATTTGCACGAAATTTGGCATAGCGTAATGTGTGCTAAGTTTCGTAGAAATCGGTTCAGATTTAGATATAGTTAATAGGTGCATCAATGTCCCTATATATCTTTCGATTTGCACGCAATTTGGTATAGCGTACAGAATTGAGCCTAGAATGCTGTGTGTTTAATTTCGTGAATATCGGTTCAGATTTAGATATAGGCCCAAAGTTTGTACGATTGACATATAATTTTGTTGAAAACGATTCAGATTTAGATAAAGCTCCCTCCCCATTTGTCTGTTCGTTGTTCTGGATTCCATTCTGTAAATGAGATTTTGTTTTACCTTCTGCATTCAAAAACCATCGAAATTTCTTCTTTGTAGATGATAAAAATCGTGTTATTCTGGATATTGATGCCGATGGTTCTGACTATATTAATGCATCTTTTATTGATGTAAGTATCAAAGGCACCTACATATGAAAATATTTACAAAAAAGTTTTTATAAATTAATTTCAATTATGTTCAAATCCAAAGGGTTATCGCAGACGTAAGGAATATATTGCAACCCAGGGGCCAAAACCAGAAAGTACCACCGATTTTTGGCGTATGGTATTACAGCATAATGTTCGCGTCATTGTTATGGTAACACAATTTCGAGAAGGCGATGTGGTAAGAACTTGTTTTATTTCAAAGCATTGCCCAAAATTCCCTCTTCTTAACATTTGATACTATCCTACAGATCAAATGCCACGAGTATTATCCGTACAAATCGAAGGGCATTAACGTCACCGAAAAGAAAAAGGAAACTTTCGATCTTTACGACCGCACAGAATTGTCCGTTGTCCATGAAATGTTCGGTCTGAAACAGAAAGTGGTACATTTCTATTTTAAGAAATGGCCAGATTATGGTGTACCCACCGATCCCATGCATTTGATAACATTTGTGCGTAAAGTTAAGGCCGAAAAGATTCCCAGCTATTCGCCAATAGTGGTGCATTGCAGCGCCGGAGTGGGCCGTACTGGTACCTTCATTGGTCTAGACATTATCATGCAACGACTTAAGAATGAATCGAAAGTAAATATATACGAAACGGTCAAGAAGTTGCGTTTCCAGCGCATGAAAATGGTTCAGAGTCTGGCCCAATACACATTCCTCTACACATGTACCTATGAGTTGGTCAAACACAAGAATCCGCAACGGACCAATGAAAAGCCTGACACGCGTAGGAGACCCATCACCGAAAGTGATGCAGAAAATGCCAGCAGTACCTCAGCAAATGGCATTAACTCCGTTCGTAATGCTGCCGATATGAGCTCGCTGAGTGATAATCGCCAGCAAACCTTAGATAGGTCATCAAATGTCCATGAAAACAACGAGAGTTTTATGTAGAGAAGTAGTAACTAAATTCAAACTATAGACACATAAGTATTACACACAAGTGATAATGGTATACACACATACATATGTACATACAACCAAACAATAGACCAAATATGAACATGATTATAATAAATATTGTATATAATACCGTATATTTATTGAAATTTATATGAATGGAGTAAAATATATAAATACGAAAAAATTGCAAAGCAAATCTTGCTAATTGATTGTGATACTCACTTTTTAAAAAAAAATGGGCTGGGACATTGAATATAATGAAAGGAACCTAGGTCCCGGAATCTCAAATTACAGTCACTTATATATACTTATTAGAAAAAGTTTTCATACACTTCAATATTCAATTTTGAAGTGCTTATAAAAACACAAAAGTTTGATTATTAATTTAATGCCATCGATTTGTCGGATAATTTACTTTATATTTGATTGTATTTTATTGACCGCAAATCTTGATTAAAAAATAAGTATGTTTGTACATATCAGGTAAATTTATATGCAATTATGAATAGAATTGTCCATCTTAAAATCTGTAGAAATTTTTTTTTGAATATGCCAATAGACATGCATACAATAGCGTGTGACCATGTGCAGTAAGTAGTATCTAACAGTTTACAGTTCCACTTTCCATAAAAAACCCTACGCCCCTATTCTCATAAATTTTCTTCGGAATTTACTTTTCTGTCCATGGCATAATTACAAAAGATACTCTCATTTGAGAAATTAATAATGGCAACCATTTTTAATTTGTAACTCATCTATCAATTTCAAATTGTTTGAAAAACAAAACGGCATATACATTAGAACCTTTTACCGGGTTAACCTACTTTATGAGGATTTATTTGACATATATGCAAAGGAAATGACAATTGAAACCCACTGGGTTAACGAAATCCGGTTAAATGTAAATGTACTCCAAGTTCCGTAAAATTTTATGTATGTCGATTGGCATCCCTGCAAGCATTTGGAAGTAACAACGTTACCCATGGTACAATTATAAAAGGTAACAGCAAATCCCAGCTGATTTGATTCCAACGTAATACTAGTGTCAATATGAATTTGACAAATTATGTTTTTAAAAATCACCCAACAGGAAAATTGGGAACGCATACAATTTGAAATTGTTCTTTATTAAATGTGCTCCTGTATTCAATTTACTCAATCTGCCTGCTGGGAAAGTTTGAGGAAGCAAATCTTTATTCAAGGAATAACTCGCTATTCCCAGCATTTTCATATGTGTTACACATATATATGACAATGGCTCAATTATAGGAAAGATGTGGAAGCCATAGAAATATAAATTTGATAGATTTTCATTCATGTTTTTCAATTTTTATTTTGAGGATTCGAAAATATTTCATTTTCAAAATAAAAATAATTTGTTTATTTGTTTACATTTTTCTGTCAAATGAGTTGACACTAGTAGAACTTACAAAAACAAATTTCCATGTGGTTGTTGTATCGTTTTTTGTACAACAACACTTGCTGTTACCTTCTTTTATTATACCCAAGGTGTATTTAATAAGGTGTATGCATCAGATACAACAACAAATATTTTACAAAAACAACATTGTTGTTATAGAAATTAAATTGTCATGCTGACAATAAGTTTTTGACAAAAATAAACAAAAACAATTATTAATTTATTTTTGTCAAGATCTATTCTTTGAGGAATAATTCATGAATTTGTGTATTCTTGGGTTATTGGCGGTTTTAGGTCACTGAAAAATAAAGTTTAAGACCTAATTAGCCCATAGCTCCTCGTGATGTTTTTTATATTGTGGATTACAATCTATTTTTTCTATGGAGTGGCTTCAAATCTTGCATTCTTAAAGAAAATTGAAGGATATAAATCCCCGGCCAAAGACTAAATCATGGAAATTGTGTTGACCGTATAAAATCTTTCCATAGGCGTATTTAACCTTCGTCGAGAATTGTGACAAGCACCAAGGGGCCGATTCCAATATAGGCTAACATAATTTCCACGATTTTATGAGTAGCCGAGATTTCTGGAGAGATTTCCACACATAACATAAAATATGTGGACCAATCGGCGAACGGGGTTATAACTGAGCCTACGTTTCCTTTTCGCCCCCCTCTATGAATGTAGTTTTCTTGAATTTCTATTTTGAATTTTTATTATAAATTTAAATACCATTTTTGAATTCGAAATGTAATATTAGAAATATTTTTGACAATTTACTTTACAAACAATAAAGAAAAAAGTTTGAAACCATATGATTGTCACTTACACCTTATTAAATACACCTTGATTATACCATGAACGTTACCTAACAGCCTTATAGTAAGTTTACATTTAACCGGATTTCGTTAACCCAGTGGGTTTCAATTGTCATTTCCTTTGCATATATGCAAGTTCAAAAGAGAACGATAAAAATTGACGCAAGTAAACTCGCCTAATATAAATCAGGACTTTCTGCCACCGTTCAGATTCAAATTTATTACAGAAAATATTAACAAATCGTGTTGGGGGGAAAGAAATGTAATCATTTGTTAAATAAGCAATTAAAGCTGTTATAAGTGATTAAATAGCAATTGAAATGACATGACGTGGATCTAACAAAAACCCAGTTTTCAGCTATTTACTACATATAGTATAATAAGAGGCAAGTCAGCTAACTTTTGTGTTAATTTGAAATTTATAAACATTAATTTTTACAGATATGTGCCATCTAAAATTTTCCCAGACGTCGTTGTTGGACTTAAACAAAGTTTGTCTACAACATATTTTACACGCTCGGGATAGAATACAAAAAAAAAACAAGACTGTAAATCAATAAATTTGTTGAAAATTTAACTATTATTACATCTTAAACGTATCTTCTTAGTGAAATATGAAAGTAACTAAGGCGATAATATTTAAGGTAACAAAACAGTGTCATTTTATTAACTTCAAATTTTGACGAAGAAGATACTTTTTAAAGTAACGAGTGCGTGGTTCATTTCTTCCCAAACGGTATAACTTATTTGTTAAAAATACGATATCGTCTACGAGTGTTTTCATCTCCTGGTAGTAACTTTTTGGATATTTTTTGGATAGAAAATGCTTGCTGGGATATTTTCAATAAATTAAAGGGGCCCACACACCATAGAGCATGCATGACAGCATTTGAAGTAGTATTAGTAATTGTGTGCCAGTTTGAGAATGTTTGTGTGAGAATTTCATGCAGTACGAAAATCAAAATAGTTTTACAGCCTGTTTTTGTAAAATTCCAAACGAACGAATTCGAGTGACTTACGACCAAACCTTTATTTATGTTTGAAAATGAACCCCTTTCAATCAGATGAATTTCAGTAATTTTCAAATTTGTCAGAAACAAATTTTGGGGTAAAAAAACAAATAATTGTGATGAAATAAAGTAAAATCAATTTTAATTCGAAAATAAAATTTTGTGAAGGAAAAAAACATGTTTTTGTAATTTTGATTGAAAAGTCGTCTACACACTCTTCAATCACATATGGGTTCATCGGCAGTAGCAGTACGGCAGTTGCAATGTCCCCATCAATTTTTTTGATTTGTATTTTGAATTGAATTTTCATCTTATGGTGGATGGTAGAAAAAGTTTGGCCCGTCCTAATTTCACGTAATTTTTACACATCAAACAGAACTTTTACGTTTGATCATTTATTTAATTGTTTTCCTTTAAATTTTATAGCACTGGCGACTTGAATTTCAAAATTGCATGCAAATAAGCAATTGTATAAACCTGGTCCTATCAGCTGATTTTAATGTCTCTCTAATGCCGTTATACTTCACACACATTCGTAAACACATTGCCTATGTAGCCATTTTGTTTTGGCATTGTTGTTTATCGTCCATTCTCGCCTGCCTCCCCAATTCGTATTATTTGGAGCGGTTTTTAATTTAGTAGGTCGGCTCTGAAATCCAAATGGCATGGTCGACGTTCACTTGACCCATATACATTATTTCTAGTAGTTATTCTCCATCCGATTTTTTGGAAAATCTATTTAAATTTTGAAACTACCAGAACTGTAGCAACATGTCCGAACGTAAAGTTTTAAATGTAAGTCCAAAATAATTCCTTTTTTTTAATTTCCACTAACCCATCATTACCATTGCAGAAATACTATCCCCCGGATTTCGATCCATCGAAAATTCCGCGCATGAAATTGTCCAAAAATAGGCAATACACTGTTCGATTGATGGCTCCATTTAATATGCGTTGTAAGACATGCGGTGAATACATTTACAAGGGAAAGAAGTTCAATGCCCGCAAAGAAGATGTGGAACACGAAACATATCTGGGGATTCGAATTTACCGATTCTACATCAAGTGCACCCGATGTCTGCAGGAAATTTCCTTCAAAACAGATCCGAAAAATACCGACTATGAGATAGAAGCTGGAGCGACCAGAAACTTTATGGCTTTAAAGATGGCCGAGGAGCAAGCTCGCCGTGAAGAGGAAGAGTTACGAGAAGAAGAAGCTAACAATCCTATGAAACTGCTGGAAAATCGCACACAACAGTCCCGAAATGAAATTGAGATGTTGGAATCCTTGGAAGAGTTGCGGGATTTGAATCGTAGACAGGAGACGGTGGACTATGAAACAATGCTGCAACAATACAACACTAAGGAGACAGAAAGGGAACGGCTAGAGCGGCAGGAACGAGAGGATGAAGAATACATAAAGTAAGAATTAAATGATATTTGTTTAAGCGGGAATACCTAACTCATTTTCTCCATATCTCTAGGTCCATTAATTTTAAAAATAAAAACACCGATCTCACAAAAAAGAAAATCGTAGCTGAGGAAATAATTGAGGAGGTTAAAGACGACGATGCCATACCCTCCAAAGTCCAAAAAACTAGTGAATTGACAATTACATTTAAAAAACCTGCAGGGAGTAGTACATCGACATCCAGTAAAGCTGGATTAAGTAACATTGTAAAACGGAAACAACCGTTGGTAGTACTAAAACCAAAATCATCTAACAATCCGGAAAACCAAGCCCAAATTGAGAAAACTTCTCAAACGTCTACCCAACCAGATAGCAGCAGTTCAGCAACTAGCCAAAGAGAAGAAAATAGCACTGCGAAATCCGCAACAGGTGGTAGCGGTTTGTCTCTTTTATCTGCCTACTCAGACAGTTCAGAGGACTCAAATTGACCAACAATAGCGAACATTTATTTTTTATACCTTCGGACATAATAAAATGAACAGTAGTTTTTGTATGAAATTTATTTTCCTTTTTATTTCATTTGATTATTTTTTTCAACATATTTTAGTCAGTAATTCAAAGGCACCTGTACCATTCCGTACTGGAAGACCAACCATTAAACGACTTGAAGGTGAATTTAATTCATCTGCACAACCCATACCAGCGGCATTCTTTAAGAATTGCAAACACGATTCAAATGACATTTGTTGCAGAGGTGATGCTGAGTGTTCCATGCCTTTGCGGGATAACGGTTGGAATGTACCATCGAAAGTCATATAGTCGGCGATTAACGACAAGTGACGACGATCGACAGTAATACCATATACTTTGAACACGTTCGTTACTTCTTGAACAATGACACGGGCGGCAGCTTCAATACCATATGTACGTGCAATGGCGTGTATATCGTTTGAATAGAAACGATTCAGATCGAGGATGGTGTTGTGTTTGAACATCTCCACAATGTTGATACCATCGGTCTTGAGGGTAGGTTCATCGTTGTTGCCCTTGTATATGATGGCACGTTTGATATTGTCCACTTGGTGTACAACTGATTTTTCTGCCAAATCCTTGATGATGGATGAAATATTCGGTTGCTTGTATTTCATATCCAACTGCAATGAAAGAAATGCATTAAAATTTTTGCTTTAATGAAGCGGGGGTTTCACTCACATTGAATGTTAATTTGGCCCACAGATAATGTTTCTTGTCATACACATAATTCTCAACCATGGAGTTCAGCATAACCTTTTCAGTGATATTATCAGACTTTCCAGGCTTTTCGTCCTCCTCGTCATCTTCGGCGTTTTCATTAGTTTTGGCAGCAGAGTTATCTAATGTATCATCTTCGTCATCATTATCGCCATCATCAACGTTGGCTAGAAAAATATAAGCAAGGTTTTAAAATAATTGGCAAAATAGATTTAGAGAATGGGGGAATATACCATCATTTATTTCCTCCGCCTCATCAGGATCATCGTATTCGTTTTCGTCCATTTTACGAGATTTCAGTTTAACTCCGGTCGCGTCATTGTCAACTTCTCCTTGCTCATCATCAGACGAGTCATTATCATTGTTTGCCGAGTCCTTTTGTTTTTGATTCACAGCTTCTCCAGCATCTAATTTATCATCATTAGATGTATCTTCCTTTTGTGTTTCACCAACTTCAATACTGTAATAATGTATTTTTATATGTATGAGGTTTAGAAATTTTTTGTTAATATACCGCCAACAACTTACACTGCAGATTTGGTGGTATTTGATTTTATAATAGCTCGGAACAAAAGTGAAAAATATTTTTTGCTCAAGTATTTGATGATTTGTTTGGGTTTTACACAGAAATCATCGCTGTAGGCCTCTCGTGGCAGGAATTGGAAGGTCAACTCAAACTTTTGTGCCCTTTGGGGTTTGTGAACCAATTGTGTCTTAACATTTACATCTACATCAAGATAGAGAGAGACAAAAAGGAATAACAAATTAACAAATAATTCTAGAAGTAGTAGAAAAATATGTCTTACACTGCAAAACATCAGCCAAGGTCACTCTGTTTAAGGTCAGGCGTAATTTTTCGGCATTCTTTTCCTGATTGGGTTTAATAGGTATGTCCATTGAGGGTGTTTTAATGTTCGCCGAGGCCATCATGAGAATTTCACGCAGACGTGGAATACCCAATGTAACGTTCATTTCACCACGACCAGCAAAGTGAAAAGTGTTGAGTGTCATCTGAGTAGAAGGTTCACCAATTGACTGTGCAGCCAGTAGACCGACAGGTTCGCCAGGTGCAGCTAAAGCTTTGGCATTCTTTACATACATAACATCAGTGACGGCAGCCTTTCGCTCGGGATGTTTTGCCACATAGTCAGCAATGATTTGTTCGACTTTTTCCGAAACCGAGCTGTAGGTGGAGTCCTGACGATAGACAGAATTTGTTGGATCCGGACAACGAGGATATTTCTTTTCATACTGAGCCTTGCTCTCATCATCGGCCTTTCGCCACAGTTTAATTATGGCTTCATCTATCCGCCTTCTGCCAGTTTTGGAATTCAATTTGTTGGGTTTGTTTACTTCAATTTCATTGCGAAGTTCGGCCGAGAAATGTGTAAATGCGGAAATATGTCTTCTGTCGATCTGTGATCCGCTATTATGTTTCTTTAGCCATGAACGGATTTTCTTATTGTGGCGTTGGACTTTGTTGACCTCCTCTTCTACCTTGATGGTGGCCAGTTCTTGTGGTCGCACTACTACAGCAGAATTTTCCGTAAGGAATTCTGTGCAGAATTTGGTATTGAAGAATTTCGATTTCAAAATATCCAAACCGTCTTCGCCATAAAGATATTGTACCACACAATTGTCACTATCACGAACCGTTAAATCATAGTTCACTGATAAACCTTCCAAATGTTTAATTAGACAACGTTGCAGATAGCCGGAACGTGAGGTTTTCACAGCAGTATCAATAAGACCCTATAAGACAAAATAAATTACATTCTACACAAGTTATCAGTTATAATGGGATCATCAAACTTACTTCACGACCAGCCATACAATGGAAAAAGAAATCTTGAGGTTGAATGCCGGTTAAGAAACGTCCATCAATGTAACCACCAGATTTTGGCGATGTTTCAAAGGCAGTGAAGCTGGGTAAAGATTTGCCCGAAATCATAAGTGGTGGACGTTTGCCTTCCAATTCAATTTGACCCAATAAACATGAGATTTGCATTGTGTTGACCATGGAACCCTTGGCACCAGACAATACCATCAATTGCAAATTATTATCGGGGAATTTGGTAATTAAACCATTTGGCAAACAGGTTCTGTAAAATAAACAGTTTGTGTTTTTAAAACATAGCAATTATTTGGGAATAGTGCTAGCTTACTTGTTAATATCATTGGTGTAGTTATCCAACATGGCCTTGTATTTACGATCCAAGATTACACGGAATTTTGGATCTTTTATATAGGCTTCTTCCATTTTCTCAGAAAGTACATCCAGTGAGGGAACTTCTTCCAGGTCCAGAGCTGATGCCAAGGCAGCATTGCCAATTTCACGACTTTCTTGAATAATTTTACGACGCTCGGCATCCGCTTCGGCTGTTACCAAAATATCTCTAACGCCCAATGTAAAACCTTCACGTTGTAGGAAAAACGTAAATACTTTGGTGAAGGCAGTCAGTAAACAAGTCGAAGTATTACCACCATAAAGCTTAGGAATGAATATCAAATATGAGAAAAGGAAATATTTTGCAGCAGGATATTTATTTATAACCTACCTCATACATGCAATGGATGAGACCATATGTGGTGGCACCATATTGTTGTTTATCCAAAACACCAGCTAGAAGTTCACCATTGCGAATAATTACTTGACTTTCGGACATTTCATTTTCGCCTAATTGATCACCACCACCCAAAGCCAAACGATTTTTATTAACATTCCAGTGCTAGAATTAAAAAACATACATTTATCTTTTTGTCTCATGCATGGTCTCACATCATTCACACCTTTGATGCAATTTTTGCCACAGAATTTAACGTAATTGCCGGAAATCCTTCAGGTATCAAATTTATAATAATCGTTGAAAGAACCTACAAATGGATAATAGGGGGAATATTATTATCAACTGATTATACTTTTTGTAATATAAATCAAATCAAATAGATAGAAATAATAATCCAAATCTTGTACCTGTTTTCCAGACCACAGTTTGATTGGCTTTATAATGGTCGGTGGCAGAAGTTGTATGTTGGTCTTGATGTGCGACAATCCCTGATACACCAGCTGTTGGTAGTCTTCACGATTGAAAAATCTACCCCGAATCGAAAGTTTTACACCAGAAATAACGTGATCCTGAATAAGACCACCCAACGGGGTACCATCTTTAGGTACCAAATAATTGCTGGCAACATTAACTGGAAACAAAATAAATATAGTAATTATTTCATAATGTAATCGATTCCATTTGAATACATACCCAAGTTATAGGCCTCAGACCTGGCAACTTCACTTTGTGGCAAATGAGCATTCATTTCATCACCGTCAAAATCAGCATTGTAGGCTTTACAATTTGAGTAATGTAAGCGGAATGTTTTTTCACCTTGTAATATACGAGCTTTATGGGCCATAATTGATGGTCTATGTAGTGACGGCTGACGATTCAACAACAGTATATCACCGTTTAGAACATGACGATGAACAATCTTTATGCCCTTTTCGGGATAGTTGAATAAAAGTTTTGCCATACTTTCACGTTTTGCTGCATTATTGGCTGGTATAACTGTGGTATAGCCTCTTTCATCTTGAATATAATTAGCTCTAAAGATGGAAAATTATTAATTTTGGATCCATATACAGTTACTGTAATATAAGAACATACCCGGGATGAACGTCAGGGCCATTCATAACCATTTTACGTAATTCGGCAACATTCCATGGGGTCACGGGAACTGGATAGGATAATTTTCGAGCAAATATATCGGGTATCCCGATTTCCTCAACATTAATGTTTGGGTCGGGGGTAATGACAGTACGTGCAGCATAATTTACACGTTTACCCATCATGTGTTTTCGGATTAAACCCTCCTTCTTTTCCAACACCTGTTTCAAACCGACTGAATTCTGTGCTTCACGTGACATGCTAACATCGAGTAGTACATTGACCGATGTCTGCAAGGCTTGCCAGGCATTGTAAAGCTTTTCGTAGGCATTAGAACCTTTGGCGCCAACAAAAACATTCTGTAATCAGAAAAACGCCATTATATTTAAAATACTTTTTGAAAATGTAAAGCAACCAACCTGTGCTTCTTCAGACATATCAGCAGAATCTCCTCTAATATGTTTCATGATAACACGTATTACCGAATTGTTTTCAAGAATGTTGCGGTAAAGACCAGTTTGAGGATGTTCAACAATTTGATCGTGTAAAATATTCGAAGGACGTGCTTTGGGTGGGGTTACCGGTATGGTATCCATAAAAAATATATCCACTGGACAGAAATCGTTATCCTTCGTTTTGCTAACCAATTGTAGAACCGGGAAAAATAATCGCAACATTTCAGGGTGATTTTCATAAACTTGACGCAAGAATTTTCTGCACTCATCTGCCAAAATTACTTTATGTTGACCCGATAAACCTTCTTTGTCGCTGAATCTAAAGAGAAAGAAATATTAGAAACCATATCCGAATTCTAATCAATTTCCAAATACATACTTGCTTTTCATTTCGGCAATGCTAATGTAATACACCAGTTTGTGGTGCATATAACGTACAGTCTTCAGGTTCTGATGGCAATGCAGACATTTTTTAGACATGGGCCGCTGCAATGCTGCATTTATGATAGCTGCACGTACTGCCCGAGAGGTTTTGGTGATGTTCACCTGATTGCTATGACCTTTTCCCAAAAGTTGATACATTTCAGCTACTCGAGGATGGACATAGTCACCATATTCCGTTTTTACACGAGTCTCCTCGCTATTATAGACAATTTCAGATTTATACAGTTCCAGTTCTTGGGCTTCTACAACATAACCTGCTTCGATTAGTCGCAATTGCAAAGAAAGCATTTCCATGGTGTGATCTGTAGGGAAACAAAAAAAAAAAAAAAAAAAAAAACATTAAGCACATCGAAATTGAAATAGTTATATTTATACATACCCTTGATTTGCAACTTATTGCAGTTCATGCAGGAAACATTGCATATCTTCTGGACAAACTTCACAAAGAAAGGATTATACACCAGGGCATTGAGTTCAATGTGGCCCATATGACCGGGACATTTTTGTATATCCAAACAGGTGCCACATGGTTCCATGCGTTTACCAAAGGTACCCATCAAACTGTCATACAACCCTCCTGGCAATGGATGACCCAGTGGATCGAACGTAAGCCCAGTTATGACCTTAACAACACTCAGCCGCTTTATTTCATCACCAGTAAAGACAGAGAATTCCAGGTCGGATGGAAACATGTCGATATCGAAGGTTTTCATAGTTCCCATGGTTGTTGTTAATGTCCAAAAGTTTTCTCAAAATGAAAAATTACAAAAACCACAAAATTTAAACTTTGAATGCAGAATTTTTTTCCAAATAGCTCCGAAATACAACTGAACTGTTCAAAAACTTCATTCGAAATGAGCGATTTGATAAACACGTGCAACTGCCTCTAGAGTTGCCAGGTTGTAGAGTTTTATCAAAATATTTGATTTCAAATAATGACTGTATTAGGAACTGCAACGCTTTTAATGATAGTTAAAATTGTCGGAGTTTGATTTGTAATGCCATTCGTAGTTGTATAAATTTATCATAATTATTGTAAATCTTGATATCTCCGTCATAGATATTTGAAATATTTATTAGCTCGTCAATTTTTTTTGAAGACTTGGCATCCCTATTCATTGTTTTTGTCAATTTTCTTTTATTGTTATTTTTTGTTTTTATAATTCTGCTTTGTGATCTATTCGTTAAATTCGATTAACGTTGCCAACTTATTCCAAAAATCGAAAACACAGGGTGGCATATTGAAAATGGTGTTGTCACTTTAAAGTGATTAGCAGGGCAGTGTAATTTCTTTTTAGTGAATACTTTTCTGATCGTGTGCTTCACACCTTCGTAACAGAATTTAAATGAAATTTAAATCGATACAGAATGCAAGTATTTTTGTCAATAATATAAAGGAACATATGTTATCATAGTAAAAAAATAGATTCTTGCAGTACCGGAACATACACAGAGCATAGCGTACTCAATGGTCAAAAGACGACTTTGATGCAAGAATTCGATTAATCGATTAGTCGGCAGTCGACTTACGTATCCCTAAATAAATGTTTCGTCGCGTGTTCAATTATTAAGTTATTTAAATTATTGCATTAATTATTTATTTAATAAAATTTACCATTTTAAAATTACTATTTCTGTATTGTGAAAAACCCTGTGAACCCTGTTTTCGCACATCATCGATAACATCGATAACACAGCAGCTGATATTGTGTTGAGCAAGCCTAATCGGTCGATTTGTTTTGATTCCCCTATTCGGCCCGATTTTCGATCTAAGAGACACTAATACTTACTAATCGTTGTTTGTTTTGATTCTGGCTTTTATCAGTTACGTTTTGACGCAATTTCGTCCAATTCCACAACGCCGTCAAAACTTTAGAAGCGGCACTGTACTTAACTTTTTCATTCGAAAGCACGCCACGCGGACCGAGGAGTTACAAATCTACAAATCTGAAATTATTGCATTAATTGCACGCATTGCACATTGAAAATGTCTTCGGTGGTCAATTCCTCAACACAGTCAAGGCAGATCAAATTTTATAATCCATCCTCGTCAGCCAGTTCTGACAGCGATGACCGTGGCGATTTAACCGAACAGCTGTATATTGATCCCAACTGCGGAATTACGGAATTTTTCGGATGTCCAGCATCACCGACCACTGTACCAGCAAGAACTCCACAATGTTTGGAGTCACCTGCCCGCCCTGGGCCGCCTCGCAGGCGTCAACGTACTACATCTATGAATAATCAGGTGACCACGGCGAATCCATCAGAATGCGTAATTCGCTCGAACAATCGTACTATTTACACGGCTGGCCGTCCACCCTGGTACAATTGTGCCGGTAGTGCAGTGGAACCCTTTGTAATAGGTATTTGTGGTGGCAGTGCATCCGGCAAGACGACGGTTGCTCAGAAAATTATCGAATCTCTAGACGTTCCTTGGGTAACCTTATTGTCGATGGATTGTTTCTATAAGGTGCTGAACGAGAAACAACACGAACAAGCTCTTCTCAATGAATACAACTTTGATCATCCAGATGCTTTCGACATGGACCTGTTATTGGAAGTAATGAAAAAACTGAAGGAGGGTAGGAAGGTAGAGGTGCCAGTGTACAATTTTGTTACACACTCGCGCGAAGCCAATACCAAAACAATGTACGGAGCAAATGTTATTATATTCGAAGGCATCCTCGTATTCCACAGTCCCGAGATTTTAAAATTGATGGATATGAAGATTTTTGTGGATACTGATGCAGATATACGCCTGGCCAGGCGTCTCAGGAGAGATATTTCACAACGTGGACGTGACTTGAGCGGTGTGCTTAAGCAGTATTTGAACATGGTGAAACCATCATATGCCAATTACATTGCTCCGACCATGGCTCATGCTGACATTATTGTACCTCGCGGAGGTGACAATAAAGTGGCCATACAGCTCATAGTGCAACATGTCCATACACAACTCCAATTGCGTGGTTTCAAATTACGCGAGGCCTTGGCCAACTCATACAACGATCAACCAATGCCAAGCTCCTTGCATCTGCTGCCTGCCACACCACAAGTCAAAGGTCTTCACACATTCATACGCAACAAGAATACTTCCAGAGATGAATTCATATTTTACTCGAAGCGCCTTATACGATTGGTCATAGAGTACGCTTTGAGTCTCTTTCCATTCGAGAACACAGTTGTTGAAACTCCCCAATCAGTCTTATACGAAGGCAAGCGTATGGCAACAAATAAAATATGTGGCGTGTCTATTTTGAGAGCTGGTGAGACAATGGAACAGGCCATTTGCGATGTGTGCAAAGATATACGCATTGGAAAGATTCTCATTCAAACCAATAAGGAAACGGAGGAACCAGAACTATACTACTTACGTCTGCCAAAGGACATACGCGAATACAAGGTTATATTGATGGACGCCACAGTTGCCACTGGTGCAGCTGCTATGATGGCCATAAGAGTACTACTTGATCACGATGTCAAGGAAGAAAACATAATGCTTGCCTCGTTGCTAATGGCCGAAATAGGCGTACACAGTATTGCATATGCCTTTCCAAAGGTGAAAATTATCACATCAGCCTTAGATCCAGAAATCAACGATAAATTCTATGTCATACCTGGCATTGGTAATTTTGGTGACCGTTACTTTGGCACCGAACCATCTGAAGATTATTATTAGATAGCAAGTAATTAAAACCAAATCTATAAGATATACGAGAATGATTATCAATATATAAAGTATGCCTATTGATAGCCAAGTGTTTAGTAGTATTAGGATAATAATAATAAAAATATAACGAAAGCTGAGAAAAGAGTAAAATAAATTTATTTATGAAATTTATAAATATGGACAATTATTTTTTTTTCGTTTGGTTGTTGTAAACGGTATCTTATATTCAAGAAAAATATCTCAATCAATTTAATGACAACATATGGAGTAATATGAGTCGTTCATTTTGAAAGTGGTTTAAGTCCATTTTGAAATATGTTAAGGTTTGTGTTTGATTTGTTTCAAAAATATTGTTAAGTTTTTTAAATTTTGTTTGTGTCTTTGAGCCCTTAACCATGTCAGAATATATAATGTAGCATCTTTTGTAATCTTTACCAGAAAAACAAGCTTTGTATCAGAACATAAAATTGACTTAAAGCACTTTCAAAATAAACGACCCATATTGTTGTTCTTAAATATCCTTTGACATGTGATCAGTTTCTGTAAAGTCGAATTTGTGTCGGGTGAGTTTCTATGAACATGTGCAGGTCCAAATCATAAAGAAATAGCAACTCAAAAATTGCCGTTTCTGTGTTTTAGTATAAGGATTTTCTGTTATTGAATTGTTCTGTTCATGCATAATAAGAAAGTATTTTTTTCTATATTAAATACCTACATATTTGTAATTTTAAATCCAGAGTAAATAGCCTTTTTCGTAAATTATTATTGTCTGCAGCGTTTCGACGTCATCAGTCAATAATAAAAAATTGTCTGCGTGTGTTATCTACATAAATACCTCATTCTACGATAAACTCGTGCAATCGATTGTATTACTGTGTGAAAAAATATAGTATGTATTATAAAAATTTTTGTGCGATGAAAATCTACGTATAATGGTTGATAATATCTACTTAATCGAAAAGGAACTTTTATTCTAATGGATGAAATTAGGAAGTCTGAGGGTATATTACCGTTTAGTATTTTAATTACCATCATAATGTTCAACATAATACGTCTACTTTTTAATGTAGGCAATCGAATTAATTTTAACCTGCTGGTGTAAGAAGGCAACATAAAGTCACTATTCCAATGTAAACCTCTCAGTGCAAAAAGTTGAAATTGTTTCTGCAGTGATTCAATTTTATCGATATATATTCTATATTGGGGATCCCATACAACAGAGCCATATTCTAATATGGGTCGCAGAGAGACAATGGAGAGACAATCATCAAACAAATCTACCTGTGATCTATTTCGCAAATAAGATGATATCCATTTAACTAAATTTCTACTGAAACCAATTTGATTTAATTTATATTTTAAAAGTTCATGGTTAACCCTTGGTCTGTTCCCGTACTGCAGGAATCTACTAATTTGTACTATTTTTTCCGATATCATAAAGGAAAAATTGTTATCGTAGTAAAAAATTGCACATTCTTGCAGGTTCTGGAACAGACCACCTGTCAAAAGCTTTACTGAAGTCAGTGTAAATTGTATCGGCTTGATTACGCTGAATAAAACCTTTTATGACGGCTAAGGAAAATTGAATAAGATTGGTAATGGTTGAGATATGGTATTGATATGGACTTAAGACTGGCTGAACTTTATGAGAAATTACATCGGTAATCAATATTTCGAATAATTTTGGAATTGCACTTAATTTAGCAATTCCTCTATAATTCGAAACATTAGTTAAGCTACCAGATTTGTGTAAAGGAACTATATAGGATTTCACCCAGAAGGTAGGAAAATGACTATATTTCAGGGAATAAACAACAAGGTTAAAGGGATAGCCAATGTATCTGAACCGTACTTTAGAATTATGCTAGGAATGCCATCCGGACCTGGACTTTTAATTGATCTTAAATTACGTATATTTTTAGAAACATATTGACTTTGTAAGAAAGGCATAGATATTTGATCTATTGTCGTTAATTTATAACTATTGGTCTGTTCCCGTACTGCAAGAATCTACTACTTTTAACTACGATAACGAATTTTCCTTTATGATATCGAAGAAAATAGTAAAATCGAGTAGATTCTTGCAGTACGGGAACAGACCATATATGTGTCTTTATTTGGACAGGGTGAATACGAATATGTTGTATGCTGAAATTTCAGATTTTTCCTCAAATGTCTGATTATTGAATTTCAAAATGGTGGGCTTTGACGTAGCTTTCCTTTTTATATTAACAAAGTCATAAATAAATTTGCGATTGGTTTTGAAATTATGTTTAATATTGTTTAAAAAAAGATTGTAAAATTTTCGGGACTCTGTCGTATATTTAGACCTTGCGACAGCATAATCTGTAGAGGAGCCTGATTTTTTATATTTTTTAAAAAGTTTATTTTTATAATTTTTTATACTTGAAAGACCAGATGTGACCCATGAATATCGTTCCGAGTTCCTAACTCTAACAGTGGGAACACATTCTAGAATAAATTTATTTAGGATATCATAAAATTTATATACTGATAATTCTAGATCACTATGACTCTTACAAATAAATAATGAGGTCCAATTTACGGTTGAGATAAGTGCGTTTAGATAAGTGCAGATTTAAATGACATTGAAGAATTTTTGGTAGCTAAATTATTATACATCATGGATATGCATAATGTAGGGTATTCTAATTATTTCAAAATGTTGTGTAATTCACAAATGCTAGATCTAGAATTCGATCATAACAATTTATTTATTTTATAAAGATTTATGTCGCTAAATCGATTTACAATTTCAAAAAGTCCCGAGTCTTTTATAATGAGATATCGCTTATAGCGACCAATTTCGCCGGTCCTGTGACAAGATCTATAAGTTCAGCCAGCAAGTGAAAGTCAGCCGCTTTCTGAAGTCTAATGTCAAAAAATTTGGACTTTGTCAATTTACAATAATGGCTTTTGACAGCAAACTTGAGAGACAGCTGATTAGGTTAGGTTTGGGATGTACGGCTGTTGTAACAACCGTCCACTCGGAGACTATGTCCATTGTGATCATCCATTATGTATAGGTGTACCTATAAAGAGAAAGAAGAAAAGATAGTGGAAGAGTAGAGAGAGAGGTAGTCAGAATAGGAGGGAGCGGAAGCGGAAGAGACATTATTTTAGCCAAGTCAATTTTTTGACAAAGCCTAGAATTAGGTTAGGGTCTATTTTGGAGAAGAAGACTAGATTATCAATTTCATAACATCCAAACTGTTTATGTCTTCTGCTGATCAGCGATGGACATTTGCAAAGGATGTGCTCAATTGTTTCCACTTCTTCTTCATCCTCACATAGACGACAGTAATCCTCTCCACTGGAGTCCCACTTAGAAGTGAGAGATCTAACCTTGCAGTGACCAGTAATGATCCCCACAACGATCTTAATCTCCCTCTTGTTGTGATCCAGCAGCGAAGACGTTCTTTTATGAGAGAATTCTGGCCAGATAGATTTAGAGATTCTGCATGCAGGTTCCCTTAGCCATCTGTTGCCGACTACCTCGCAATAGAACGCGCGGATTCTGCCAATGAAATAGCTAATAGGGGGTTTCACAGATCTCTCAATCAGAAGACTGGACGACTGTGACCCTCCTCGAGCAAGCTCGTCGGCTATCTCATTCCCTTCAATATCGTTATGTCCTGGAACCCAGCATAACCCAACTATTTGACGTATATCATTCAGAGCGGTCTTACAATCATGAACTGCTTTCGAGTTTATAGTATGCGACTTCACCGCTTTCAGGGCCGCCTGACTATCTACGTAAATAGTCACCGGTCCTGTAAAGTCTGTATTAAGTGCTTTTACTATCTCGGCCGCTTTCGTGATTGCAAGAATCTCTGCTTGAAAAACGCTACAATCATTGTTGAGTTTATATGAGTTTCGTATACCTAATTCCCTGCAGTAGACGCCTGCGCCAGTGCCTTCTTCCATCTTGGACCCGTCTGTGAAGATTGACAGACCTGGCAGAGGTAGGGAGCCACTAGTCCAGGATTCCCTGTTAGGAAATTCGACTTTAATGTCATTAAAATCCCTGTGGGGGGGAATATAATCACTGATATGACTATCCCCCCTAAAAAGGTCATAACTTGGCGTTATGTTTAGAATGCTGGCATGACCATAGTTCAGCGATTTCAAGGCATCTGTTTCCCGGAGTCTCAGGGCACACCTAGCAGCCTGGAATTTGATCAGAATGTCCAATGGTTGGAGATTCAAGATTGCGTTCAAGGCTGCTTGTGGTGTGCTTCTTAATACTCCAGTGATCAGAATTGAAGCCGATCGCTGTAATAAGCTCAGTCTTGTCAGCAGCTTCTTTTTATTCACCCCCTGCCACCAGACAAGACATCCATAGGTAATTGTCTTTTATAGACATCCCAATCTGTACTGAGCTTTGTCTTACTAGCTCTATTATAAGCTTTCCTTGCAGCCTTCCGCAAGGTTGCAAGGTCCTGTGACCACCATACCGGCTGAGATTTCTTCCCAGGGTATGTCAGGGGACAAGATGCCTCATAGCTCTTCAGAAGAGTGGCCGTGACATTTTTCACAGCTAATTCAACATCCTCAACCGTTTTGAGATCATTACGATCCCGAAAAGAGGCTGCTGTTTTAGCTTTGAATTTGTCCCAGTTCTTCTTCCGAGGATTCCTATAAGGTTTCTGTTTAACTCTAGAGGTAGGAATCTGGAAGGATATGAGTCTATGATCCGAAAAGGAACATTTCTCAGACACCTCCCAGTTTACGACCCCAGAGTCGTCCATATTTGTGAGGGTTATATCGATGACTTCACCTCTCACCCTATTTACAAAAGTTGGTGTATTGCCTCTATTACAAATTCTAAGATTATAGCTAAGTATAAACTCGAAGATGGACTCACCTCTTGTGTTTGTGTTGCTGCTTCCCCAATAGAAGTGATGTGCGTTGGCGTCACATCTAAAGATGAGGTCACCAACTCTGCTCATCTCCTCCAATAGGCGGCATACAACAGTGCCGGGTGGGTCAGGAGCTTCGTAGGGAAGATAGACGGCAGAGACTATCAGTGGCTTCGTGGTACCTCTGTCTAGTCTTGCTGTCGTCATATCTCCATTGCTGAAATTAGAAAGAAGCATTAAATTTAACTCCTT